GAGCCCAGCCTCCAGGATAATCTGTTCTGCATATAGGTTGAAAAGGTATGGAGATAGGATGCATCCCTGGTGGATAAAATATTGGAGTGTTCAGTCATTTCATTTTATTTGGACCCATAATAAATACTCATGATAGCAATGAATGAAAATCTAACTGTTCTGTAAATTTTGTTAAAATGACAAATAAAATAAAAAAGTTATTTAAAAAAGGAAAACCCACCTTTCTGTAAACTTTCATTAAATCACAGTAAAAATAAATTATTTATTTAAGAAAATAATTAAAAAGACATGTAGCATTGAGGAAAACAAAATTCTAAAGAACAATGATGTCAGTTTAAAGACTAAGGTGGTCATACTCATGGCGTTTTCAATTGTTTCTGAAAGTTGGACAATTAATAAGGATGACAAAAGAAGAACTGATGCCTTTTAATTGTGATATTGGTGGTGATTATTGAATATCCCATACATAGGCTGCCAAATGAATAAACAAATCTGTTTTGAAAGAAGTGCAACCAGGGTGCTCCTTAGAAGTAAAGATGCTGAAACATTGTCTCTACATTACTTTATACAAAGTACAAAGTACCCTAACCCTAACCCTGACTTTGTACAGTCAGTGGAGAAAGATATCATGCTAGTAAACGTGGAGGTGTCAGTGAAAGAGAAGACTATGAGATGGATTGATGCTGTGACTACCACAATGGGATTGAGTAGGACAAAGACCATGAGGATGGCACAGGATAGGGAAAAGTTCAGATCTGTGGCTCATTGGACCTCTATGAGTTGTGATTTACTTGATGGCAACTAACAACAAAAAGAACACTATGTATTTACTCTTTCCCCCTGCAGTCTTCTTTTGCATACTTGGTAATCATTTATGAATGAGTCTATCTGTGTGTAACAAATTCTTTTGCTTTTTCTCTTTTAGATTTGTAAAAGCATTTTTATTTACCCAGTGTTTTCTATTTGTCTCCATATAATCATTCATATATATCTTATTTTGTACATATACTTTGTGTGTGTTCTATGCAATTATTCATATTTTATAATAGTGATCTTAAACCATATTTATCCTTCTATTATTGGTTTAGTCCTCCAGTGTAATGTCCTCTAGATTTATCTATGCTGTGCAGTGTTTCATTAATTCTCTTTTTACATCTTCTAGTTTTGCTTTTCTTTTTTTAAATTTTAGTGAAGGACACAAAGAAATACGTTTTTTCTATCATTCATGCACATTATTCCCCCTATTTCCCTTTATAATGCTTGTCCTGTTCCATGCTATTAATTGTCATACACATTATTTCTTATCATCTATTTCTTTCATTTTGTCCTTCCTTCACTCATTCTAGTACAGGGTTCATTGTCTAGCTGCTGTTTTCCCCCCACTTCCCCCACCCTATATCATTCCTATTTGACACTCTATAATGTAGTGTTTTGCAAATTCATTGTTTTCAATGCTGTGCAATATTCCTTTATGTGGTTGTACCATAGTTTGTCTATCTATTCACATGTTGACCAGGAATTGGGCTGTTCTCATCTCTTTGCTATTGTAAATAGTGCTATGACAACTATGTTGTTGTTGTTAAGTGCCATCGAGTCGCAGGCGACTCATAGCGACCCTATGAAGGAGAGTCCTTGACGCTTGGGTGCCTTTCATCCTCTCTCCAGGTTCATAGGGTTTCTGGAGCCAAGCTATTATGGAAGTGGATGCCACTCCTCCTTCCAAGCTTGTGACAACTATAGGGATGAATATATTTGTTTGTATTGCAGCTCTGATTTCTTTGGGGTATATTACCAGTAATGTGATAGTTTTGCCAAATGGTATTTCTATTTAAACTTTTTGAGGTTGCACCAGACTGACTTCCATAGGGGTTGTACTATTTTACATTAGCACCAGTAGGGTATGAGAGCCTCCTCACTTAATTGATTTCTCCTCTTGTCAAATGAGTGAGAATGTTTAAAAACAAATGAGTGACAATGTTTTGCGTCTTTTTACAGTAGGACAAATGGGCCTGATGAACACAACCGCCTTTGTTTGGTGGATTTTGATGTTTGCAAACTTATTTTATTATTTTATTTTATGTTTACAAACTCTTGAGCCATGCTTACAAGCTGTTATCTTCTCTTGGGAGGGAAGATATCTCAGTGCCAGGTAGGGCTGGAGTGTGAATCTTTTATTGGTAATTTTAAAATGTCGTGCTCAATTTCTTATTTGGTGATGTCTCTGTTCAGGTGTTTTACTTTAGTCTATTGTTGCGCGCCTTGCCTGTCCAGCAGGAATAAGGACACAACACACCAACGGTTCCTTCTCACAGCGGTTTACTCAG